GAGCTTGACAAAGCTTATGGAGAGCGAAACGTTGCCGCAACAAAATGTCACATTAGTTGCACTTGTGTCCTTTTACTTTACATATTGTCGGTAATTCTACCGACATATATACGTTAGATAACGTTAGGTTACGTAAGTTGATACTTAAAAGTAACGTAACCCAACTTACACTCTATCAAAGGTACAATCTACCTCACAGTTATACCGGCTGGTTGGACCTTCCTGGCTGCTGTTTGGCCAGAGAAAAAAAAATTATGCTCATACATAAGTAAAGAGCAAAGTTGAGACCAGGACCTAAACTCATATTGACCAAGGGCTCGTATGAGACCAGGACCTAAACTCAATATTGACCAAGGGCTCGTATGAGACCAGGACCTAAACTCAGTATTGACCAAGGGCTCGTATGAGACCAGGACCTAAACTCAATATTGACCAAGGGCTCGTATGAGACCAGGACCTAACTCAATATTGACCAAGGGCTCGTATGAGACCAGGACCTAAACTCAAATTGACCAAGGGCTCGTATGAGACCAGGACCTAAACTCAATATTGACCAAGGGCTCGTATGAGACCAGGACCTAAACTCAATATTGACCAAGGGCTCGTATGAGACCAGGACCTAAACTCAATATTGACCAAGGGCTCGTATGAGACCAGGACCTAAACTCAATAATTGACCAAGGGCTCGTATGAGACCAGGACCTAAACTCAATATTGACCAAGGGCTCGTATAGAGACCAGGACCTAAACTCAATATTGACCAAGGGCTCGTATGAGACCAGGACCTAAACTCAATATTGACCAAGGGCTCGTATGAGACTAAAAATTATTTTGTAGAAAAAAAGTCTTAATGGGATTTTTTTAACCAGTTTAGTAAAGAAAAACACAATAACTTGGTTGTATGATCCACTACAATAACTTGGTTGTATGATCCTCTACAATAACTTGGTTGTATGATCCTCTACAATAACTTGGTTGTATGATCCTCTACAATAACTTGGTTGTATGATCCACTACAATAACTTGGCTGTATGATACACTACAATAACTTGGTCGTATGATTCACTACAATAACTTGGTTGTATGATCCACTACAATAACTTGGTTGTATGATCCTCTACAATAACTTGGTTGTATGATCCACTACAATAACTTGGTTGTATGATCCACTACAATAACTTGGTTGTATGATCCACTACAATAACTTGGTTGTATAGATCCACTACAATAAAACTTGGTTGTATGATCCACTACAATAACTTGGTTGTATGATCCACTACAATAACTTGGTTGTATGATCCACTACAATAACTTGGTTGAATGATCCACTACAATAACTTGGTTGTATGATACACTACAATAACTTGGCTGTATGATCCACTACAATAACTTGGTTGTATGATCCACTACAATAACTTGGTTGTATGATCCACTACAATAACTTGGTTGTATGATCCCTACAATAACCTTGGTTTGTATGATCCACTACAATAACTTGGTTGTATGATCCACTACAATAACTTGGTTGTATGATCCACTACAATAATTTTGTTGTATGATCCACTACAATAACTTGGTTGTATGATCCACTACAATAACTTGGCTGTATGATCCACTACAATAACTTGGTTGTATGATCCACTACAATAACTTGGTTGTATGATTCACTACAATAACTTGGCTGTGTGATCCTCTACAATAACTTGGTTGTATGATCCACTACAATAACTTGGTTGTAAAATCCACTACAATAACTGGGTTGTATGATCCACTACAATAACTGGGTTGTACGATCCACTACAATAACTTGGCTGTGTGATCCTCTACAATAACTTGGTTGTATGATCCACTACAATAACTTGGTTGTAAAATCCACTACAATAACTGGGTTGTATGATCCACTACAATAACCTGGTTGTGTGATCCACTACAATAACCTGGTTGTGTGATCCACTACAATAACTTGGCTGTGTGATCCTCTACAATAACTTGGTTGTATGATCCACTACAATAACTGGGTTGTATGATCCACTACAATAACTGGGTTGTATGATCCACTACAATAACCTGGTTGTGTGATCCACTACAATAACTTGGTTGTATGATCCACTACAATAACTTGGCTGTGTGATCCTCTACAATAACCTGGTTGTATGATCCACTACAATAACCTGGTTGTGTGATCCACTACAATAACTTGGTTGTATGATCCACTACAATAACTTGGTTGTAAAATCCACTACAATAACTTGGTTGTAAAATCCACTACAATAACTGGGTTGTATGATCCACTACAATAACCTGGTTGTGTGATCCACTACAATAATTTGGCTACAAGCATTGTAACTTCACACTACAAGTCTACATCTCGTCCTCATACCAAACGTTCGTTTCCCAACTTTTCTACGAGCCACCAGATAGTCACTTGTTCAACCAGTCTTCGGCGCTGCCAGGCTGTAAATGGCTTTCCCGATGACGCAGATTTCTGCAAGGTTTCGACAGATTACGTAAATACAGGCTGATCTTACGTAATGTTAAAGAGACAGAAGGAAGTAAGGGAGAGGATGAGTGGGAGAAGATGCATTATTATTATTATTATTATTATCAAAAAGAAGCGCTAAACCACAAGGGTTAAGAAAGATGCAGATGTGATGGATGGGGCAGAAGAATGTTTTTAAACATTCTGTGAGAGAAGGAAGAGGAGGAAGAGATCCGAATGTAAAAACAGCCGAAGGCGAACGCATTACTCATTCGCTAAAACGAAAGTATTGGTCAACCGATCTTGTCGTAGTGCGTGTGAAAGCGAATGTGTTTACAATGAGGGCGAGATGGAGAATGAAGAGTGTTTGAAAATACTGTGGCTTTTAGAGGTTCAATCTAACATTCGTAAAAAAAATTCTTCCGATGTTCACTCAGCGTTAAACAGCGTTTTAAGGAAACATCTTACACGCTAAAACAGCTTAAGAGAACACTTCATGGTGAAGCCATTACCTGGGAATGTCTTGACTTCCGGTAACGTAGAATGGGGACTTCACTGGCAGTGTAATGACTCGTGACTAACATTGTGTGTAAAACAACGCTTCATAATATATAAAATGGTAAGTAAAAGGATACATCACTGAGGTACAGTTCTACAAACTAGGGGTTACATAGTTACTTTAACTAGTTTATGAGAGTAACAGCCTATTTACACACACACACACACACACACACACACACACACACACACACACACACACACACACACACACGTATATATTCTAGAATACAAGCTGACCTCAATCGTCTGAGGGTCTTTTTGGAGCGCCTTCTAAATTATGCTGCGTTTGAATCCCTAGTTGGCCAGGTTGTGTAAATTGTGTAATGGAGCCTTCAGTCTCCCTGCTAGGTGATGCGTCTGTGTTGCCTGCTCTCTTGTCAGCTACTGATCTGACAGCGGGCACCACAGAATCAGTGCTTGTTTCTGTGTGTGGATTTGTGGGACTGGTGACCCTGTTTTGAGAATTGACCGAGTTGTTAATTACAGACGAACTGCTGGTAGGCGTTTCAGATTTCCCTTTTGAGGTAATGGAGTTGCTGCTACTGCTGCTGCTGTTGTTGAAATTGCTGCTGCTGCTGTTGTTGGACATGTTGGTCATCTCTTTGTGTAGTCTGGATGCAATGCTGGTGTTGCCGTCATGGGGTGAGAACTCGCCTGCTGGGAGCGTCTGTGTGGAGTTATCTGGATTCCTGGTGACGCGCAAGAGCTTGGCCGTTTCTTCCATTTCCCTCAAGATGTCGTCTAAGATATCAATGAGCTTCTCGTTCTCTCTGATGCGAGACTTGTCCACTTCCGTCAGCGGTCGCTTGGGGTACTGTGCGTCGGTATCGTCCTCGGTGAAGATCTCTTGAGAGGACGTTCTTGTAAACTCGTCCTCCTTTACTTCTCGATCATGGCCTCTCTTGTTTATTGGAATATCTCCTTCAGTATTTGCCTCGCTCTCCTCCAAACTTGTGTCTCTCTCACTATAAGAAATTTCGTCACCATTGGTGTTATCAAAGTGTTTAAAATCTTTCTTTATATTATTTCGAGAGCCTCTCTTTGCCTTCTCATCAAAGGCGCTTAAACTTCGGACTCTTTCAGAGGGCCTTGAGTTTGGCAAAGCTCTGGAAGGAAAAGTGGAACTGCTCTTGCTCTGAATATTTTGGTTATTCGTCGATTCTGATGGGCCTCTTCTTGGTATTCCTTTCGGGCTGCGGCTGTGATGTCTCTCAGGGCCATGGTAGCCGTAACCTGTTGTCTCGTATCTTTTGATACTCCACCGGAACCCTCAGAAGAAAACAAGTGCTGAGATCGGGAAGCATTGACCGCTGGTGCCCGTGTATCCTTTACCGTTGGTGACTTCATGATTGAACCATCCGACGAGGACCTATGGCCATTAATCGGTTCCTTAGCTTTGGATTTTTTGCTGTGTTGAACCGGTGGAACGGCTGAGGCCGCTGCTTGATTTGTATTATGGATGGACATTGCAGACGGCGTTGCTAGAGTAGGTCCAGGATTCAAAGTAGGAGTTTCAATCGCGGCATATTCTGAAAAGTAAGTGAAATCTGATAGCGATCCGTAGTCATAGTTTGGCAAATATTCATTAAATAACACATCGCCAGTATTGAAACTCGTGTCATAGAATCCTTCAGGATGCTCTTCGGTAAGAGACTCCTCTGAGGAACTAGCAAAGACGCCCTTCTCAAAAGTTTTCTCCAGAGAAGATACTTCTGAAACCCCCGTGGAAGACTGGGGCGACGGTAGTGGTTCAGAGTTCTGGAGAGGCGCTGTGGTCGTTAATGTATCCTGCTCGTCTCTCTCAGTTACCCCCATATCCTGGCCCTCAGCAAGCGGCACATGATGGGGCTGGAAGCGTCGAGCGGCACCAAAGATCCTGTTATCCACTTCCTCTGTTAGAAGCTCCTGAAGCTGCGTGTGGTATTGGTTTTGCAAGACTGCCTGTGTCCCTCTGCCAGCAGCAACAGCTCCAGCTAGGTCGTACGGCTCTGGCCTGCAACATTACAAGACAACCTTACTCAGAGATTTCACATTATGTATCTTACAAAAACTGAGATCTTATACATGACGTTTGTGAACCAAACGTCATGTTGACTCAAACCATGAACATCTAGATGGCAACCTCACACTTATGCCCCACCACCACAACAGCACATATTTCATTATGCATTTACAATGATGGTGTAAGGGTGGATGTGCCGAGATACCACCTGACTGACATGGATTCGAGCCCACATGACGTCCTTTCAAGACATTCACTAAAGGAAACGTTTCACCACGAGTGACTTCATCAAGCATCATGACTGATGCAACTGGTAATTATAGCATACATGACAAATAACTTGAATTAACAATCAAAATTGCTACTATTAATATATATATATATATATATATATATATATATATATATATTATATATATATAATATATATATAATATATATATATATATATATATATATATATATAAATCTTGCCTGAGCTACTCACATCTCCTCAGCGCTGAAGACTTTCTCCTGCAGCTTCTGAATGTCATGTTTCACGTCAGCGATCATCAAGTTGAGAAAATCGAAGGATCCTGGGTCACCCTTCTCGCCCGGGGGCCCCGCGGGCCCTGGAAGACCCCTGGGCCCTGGCTTGCCTGGGGCCCCTGGGGAACCCTGTTGGAAAGGGGAAGATAAAACAAGAGTGGGAGCTTCGTAAACGATGAAAGGGTTAAAGGCGAGTGATTCTGAGGATTTTCTTGTGTGGAGCGCTAATGGATAGCTTCATACTCACTCTCTCTCTCTCTCTCTCTCTGGCTCAATAACAAGATAAAAAAAACTCAGTAATAACTATGTCCAAGCTTAAATTAATCATTGGAAACGAACAATAAACAATATGATCGTTTAATTATTAAACCTCGAACAACGAGCCTAGAAGAACAACGTTATTAACGAAAAACCAAGCAACAAGATACAATATAAGAAAAAAGATCCTGTTTGGATGAATTAGCAGGATTAAACCAAGCAGGGTGCCTTGCTACCTGTTATGGGCTCTTGATCCATGGAATTAGAAGTACCCTTTCTGTTCCTCGGATCGAACCTGATTTCCTCCCATTCTTAAGAGCTGTCATGACCTCAATATAATAATTATGATAATAATAATAATATGCATAGAGAGACATACGTATATCTCAGTGTATATACACAGAGATGCATATATCTCAGTGTATATACACAGATACACGCTTCTCGGTGCATATACCCTTCCCAGGGGTGTGTATATACCTCGTATATCTGACTGGAGTTTCAACAATGTAAACACAAATATAAATCATCTCTGGGAAATCGTGTATGGAACGTGTCTCTCCCTCTCAGCTGACGGGGGATCGAGCCTCCAACACAGCCTTGCGCGGAATAAACCACAAGGGTTTAGCTCTTCATATAAGCTGTAATATAACGTTTATGTTACTGCGCCGAACTCGTGCGGGTCATTTGGCACAAGACTTGGTGACTGGACTCACTGTAATGTGCTCAGTGAGTAATACGTACCGAGATGTACTCACTTCATGTTCCTTGAGATGTACTAATCTTGTGTTCACTGAGATGTACTCACCTGAGCCGCGATCGCCCTTTTGGGTGATGTACTCGCCTAATTGTACTCACCCAATTTTACTCAACTAGTTGTATTTAAGTTATGTGTGCAAGGGGTTGAGTTGCAGCTCCTGGGCTGCTCTTTGCGCTTCTCCCACTTCTTGTTACACTCAGGATGCATTTCTTGCTATTTCCTGTAACTCATTTCAGAGTCCAACTTGTATCTGAGGCCCCTTGTTCTGGCCTCTCACATGTGTACAGTGTGTGCTTGTGTGTGTGTGTGTGTGTGTGTGTGTGTGTGTGTGTGTGTGTGTGTGTGTGTGTGTGTGTGTGTGTGTGTGTGTGTGTGTGTGTGTGTTTTAGTTAACAGTTGTCAAAGACACTTGTCGATAGATACTGGCCTGTTGTGTATGTGGCTGTACACACTTAATTGTACTCACCTAATAATAGTTGCAGGGGTCGAGACTCACCTCCTAGGACCGCCTCCTGGCTGTGATTGTGTATTTGTGTGTGTGTGTGTTTATGTGTGTGTGTACTCACCTAGTTCACCTAGTTGAGGTTGCAGGAGTCGAGTCCAAGCTCCTCGCCCCGCCTCTTCACTGGTCGCTACTAGGTCACTCCCCCTGAACCGTGAGCTTTATCATACCTCTGCTTAAAGCTATGTATGGATCCTCCCTCCACTACACCGCTTCTCAAACTATTCCACTTCCTGACTACTCTGTGGCTGAAGAAATACTTCCTAACATCCCTGTGATTCATCTGTGTCTTCAACTTCCAACTCTGTCCCCTTGTTGCTGTGTCCCATCTCTGGAACATCCTGTCTTTGTTCACCTTGTCAATTCCTCTCAGTATTTTGTATGTCGTTATCATGTCCCCCCTATCTCTCCTGTCCTCCAGTGTTGTCAGGTTGATTTCCCTTAATCTCTCCTCATACGACATACCTCTTAGCTTTGGAACTAGTCTTGTTGCAAACCTTTGCACTTTCTCTAGTTTCTTTACGTGCTTGGCTAGGTGTGGGTTCCAAACTGGTGCCGCATACTCCAATATAGGCCTAACGTTGTACAGGGTCCTGAACGATTCCTTATTAAGATGTAGGAATGCTGTTCTGAGGTTCGCTAGGCGCCCATATGCTGCAGCAGTTATTTGGTTGATGTGCGTTTCAGGAGATGTGCCTGGTGTTATACTCACCCCAAGATCTTTTTCCTTGAGTGAGGTTTGTAGTCTCTGGCCCCCCTAGACTGTACTCCGTCTGCGGTCTTCCTTGCCCTTCCCCAATCTTCATGACTTTGCATTTGGTAGGGTTGAACTCCAGGAGCCAATTGTTGGACCAGGTCTGCAGCCTGTCCAGATCCCTTTGTATTTCTGCCTGGTCGTCGATCGAATGAATTCTTCTCATCAACTTCACGTCATCTGCAAACAGGGACACTTCGGAATCTATTCCTTCCGACATGTCGTTCACAAATACCAGAAACAGCACTGGTCCTAGGACTGACCCCTGTGGGACCCCGCTGGTCACAGGTGCCCACTCTGACACCTCGCCACGTACCATGACTCGCTGCTGTCTTCCTGACAAGTATTCCCTGATCCATTGTAGTGCCTTCCCTGTTATCCCTGCTTGGTCCTCCAGTTTTTGCACTAATCTCTTGTGTGGAACTGTGTCAAACGCCTTCTTGCAGTCCAAGAAAATGCAATCCACCCACCCCTGTCTCTCTTGCCTTACTGCTGTCACAATGTCATAGAACTCCAGTAGGTTTGTGACACAGGATTTCCCATCCCTGAAACCATGTTGGCTGCTGTTGATGAGATCATTCCTTTCTAGGTGTTCCACCACTCTTCTCCTGATAATCTTCTCCATGACTTTGCATACTATACATGTCAGTGACACTGGTCTGTAGTTTAGTGCTTCATGTCTGTCTCCTTTTTTAAAGATTGGGACTACATTTGCTGTCTTCCATGCCTCAGGCAATCTCCCTGTTTCGATAGATGTATTGAATATTGTTGTTAGGGGTACACATAGCGCCTCTGCTCCCTCTCTCAGGACCCATGGAGAGATGTTATCCGGCCCCATTGCCTTTGAGGTATCTAGCTCACACAGAAGCCTCTTCACTTCTTCCTTGGTTGTGTGTACTGTGTCCAACACTTGGTGGTGTGCCCCACCTCTCCGTCTTTCTGGAGCCCCTTCTGTCTCCTCTGTGAACACTTCTTTAAATCTCTTGTTGAGTTCCTCACATACTTCACGGTCATTTCTTGTTGTCTCTCCTCCTTCCTTCCTTAGCCTGTGTGTGTGTGTGTGTGTGTGTTGATCGTGTCAAAGCGCGCTGCAGGGAACGCAATACTCCCCAGAGGGAACACAGTGCACTCCAGAGGGAATACAAATCACACAATACTCACCACCGCACCGCGTCGACATCTACAGAACTGCCTGCGGCTGCGGCCTTGAAAGACGGTCCAGGAGTCGAGAGGGAAGTCTTCTTTGGTGAAGGGGTCGTCCGCAGGCGGGGGCGGCGTGGGCGCCAGCGTCGTGGGCGCCGACCACATGGGGCCCTCCAGACCCCTTTCCCCTGGGGGCCCCGGTGATCCAGAAGGACCTGCCGACCAGAATCGTAACCTGAATTTACTCCAGCTGGCAGCCCAGGGGTCGCCCTGCCCCAGCTGGCAGCACAGGGGTCGCCCTGCCCCAGCTGGCAGCACAGGGGTCGCCCTGCCCCAGCTGGCAGCACAGGGATCGCCCTACTCCAGCTGGAAACCCAGGGGTCGCCCTGTCCCAGCTGGCAGCCCAGGGGTCGCCCTACACTAGCTGCCAACCATTAGACTGACAAAGTCTGCACAGACTTTGTCAATCAAATACAGAGATGGTTTTTATAATAAAGAGAGTAGAACAGATGGATAGGTAATTAAAAGTGTTCTATTTTATAGCGTTCTAGTGTTACTAGGTGTTCAGTTCCCTAGAATTCTTGCCTGAGGGTGTTCATTTCTTAGCCTTGAAGGGCTGAAAATTATTCGGTTCGTTAGCCTTAACAGAAAGTGTGTACTCTCTTAGCTTTGATACAAGGTGTAGAGTTCCTTAGCACTGATCGAAGACACAGGCAGGAGAGTTGATTCTTATGTATTGAAGCTAAGGCAAAGGTGCAGCACTTGGTGACGGCGTCACAGATGGGTGCAGTCCACCTATGAGGTGAGGCCAGAAAGATGGTCCAGCGATAAGAAATAAGGTTGTAGAAGATATTCTTTGTGAGGCTAATGAACTGAAGAATAAAGGACTTAACACCTTACTATGTAATACACACACACACACATATATATATATATATATATATATATATATATATATATATATATATATATATATATATATATATATATATATATATATATGCAAAACAACCACTGTGAAAGAGTAGAAAGAGTAGTGAAATTCCAAGCGCTTTCGTGACTACTCACATTGTCAAGGAACTATGAAAGTAATACAAAGGAAGGCAATTAAAGGGCTTAGATTACACCTCACAGTCAACCCCCACAATAAAGAAACGCCTGACGCGCGACAATACCGGACTCATAAGAAAAGAGGAACACTGCAGTAGGTCCGCTGGTCCAACTAGACAGGTCCTCACGACATCCCAATAACAAAATATTCTACCCAAGAAATAAGGTTTATTATTTGTCCAATGTATTATTAAACTCTAACCAAATTTTATTAATTATAAATGAGTCTAATTTATATAAACCTAAGGAAATATTCCTATTTTCAAAACTGCTTTTTATGAAACAAGGTTCAATTATATTTCTGTCAACCATGGACTTGCTTGATACAACTTTCTCAACTTTTTGAAAATCAATTGGATGGTTAAAATCTCTCACATGAATAAATAGAGCATTGGAATCTTGTCCAGTTCTAATGTTATATTTATGTTGTTTTAATCTAAGTTCGAGATTTTTACCAGTTTGACCGTAATAAACTTTATCGCAAATTTTACAAGGAATCTTATAGACACATCCATCAGCATTTTGGGGGGAATTCTTTATCAAAAGTTTTTTTTACCGTATCAAGATTTTTAAATACAACTTTAATATTAAAAGTCTTAAGCAGAGGAGGCATATCAACCAAGTTTTCATGGTAAGGGAGAACCAACATATTTTTAGTTCAATAAGGCTGGTTGTCCCTTTTTGGGTTGTAAAAAAGTATTTCTAGCAATTTTAAATGATTTATCAATTACATTTCTTGAGTATTTCAGATAAATGGCTATTTCATAAATTTTGGATATTTCTTCATCTATGAACTCTGGACTACAAATACGTAAAGCTCTCAAAAACATTGATGAGAAAACAGACGTTTAACTTTATCTTGATGGGAAGAATAATAGTGTACATAGGAACAGTTATTTGTAGGTTTTCTGTAATTTTTTTCTTTTTTTTCTTTATTCATGTGAGAGATTTTAACCATCCAATTGATTTTCAAAAAGTTGAGAAAGTTGTATCAAGCAAGTCCATGGTTGACAGAAATATAATTGAATCTTGTTTCATAAAAAGCAGTTTTGAAAATAGGAATATTTCCTTAGGTTTATATAAATTAGACTCATTTATAATTAATAAAATTTGGTTAGAGTTTAATAATACATTGGACAAATAATAAACCTTATTTCTTGGGTAGAATATTTTGTTATTGGGATGTCGTGAGGACCTGTCTAGTTGGACCAGCGGACCTACTGCAGTGTTCCTCTTTTCTTATGAGTCCAGTATTGTCGCGCGTCAGGTGTTTCTTTGTTGTGGGGGTTGACTGTGAGGTGTAGTCTAAGACCTTTAATTGCCTTCCTTTGATGTATTACTTTCATAGTTCCTTGACAATGTGAGTAATAACGTAAGCGCTTGGAATTTCACTACTCTTTCACAGTGGTTGTTTTCCATATTTTAAAATCGCCTGTTTACTGTGATCTTATTGCACACAGACACACACACACACATTATATATATATATATATATATATATATATATTATATATATATATATAATATATATATATATAATTATATATATATATATATATATATATTTTATTATCACACTGGCCGATTCCCACCAAGGCAGGGTGGCCCGAAAAAGAAAAACTTTCACCATTATTCACTCCATCACTGTCTTGCCAGAAGGGTGCTTTACACTACAGTTTTTAAACTGCAACATTAACACCCCTCCTTCAGAGTGCAGGCACTGTACTTCCCATCTCCAGGACTCAAGTCCGGCCTGCCGGTTTCCCTGAACCCCTTCATAAATGTTACTTTGCTCACACTCCAACAGCACGTCAAGTATTAAAAACCATTTGTCTCCATTCACTCCTATCAAACACGCTCACGCATGCCTGCTGGAAGTCCAAGCCCCTCGCACACAAAACCTCCTTTACCCCATCTCTCCAACCTTTCCTAGGCCGACCCCTACCCCGCCTTCCTTCCACTACAGACGGATACACTCTTGAAGTCATTCTGTTTCGCTCCATTCCTCTACATGTCCGAACCACCTCAACCCTTCCTCAGCCCTCTGGACAACAGTTTTGGTAATCCCGCACCTCCTCCTAACTTCCAAACTACGAATTCTCTGCATTATATTCACACCACACATTGCCCTCAGACATGACATCTCCACTGCCTCCAGCCTTCTCCTCGCTGCAACATTCATCACCCATGCTTCACACCCATATAAGAGCGTTGGTAAAACTATACTCTCATACATTCCCCTCTTTGCCTCCAAGGACAAAGTTCTTTGTCTCCACAGACTCCTAAGTGCACCACTCACCCTTTTCCCCTCATCAATTCTATGATTCACCTCATCTTTCATAGACCCATCCGCTGACACGTCCACTCCCAAATATCTGAATACATTCACCTCCTCCATACTCTCTCCCTCCAATCTGATATTCAATCTTTCATCACCTAATCTTTTTGTTTATCCTCATAACCTTACTCTTTCCTGTATTCACCTTTAATTTTCTTCTTTTGCACACCCTACCAAATTCATCCACCAATCTCTGCAACTTCTCTTCAGAATCTCCCAAGAGCACAGTGTCATCAGCAAAGAGCAGCTGTGACAACTCCCACTTTGTGTGCGATTCTTTATCTTTTAACTCCACGCCTCTTGCCAAGACCCTCGCATTTACTTCTCTTACAACCCCATCTATAAATATATTAAACAACCACGGTGACATCACACATCCTTGTCTAAGGCCTACTTTTACTGGGAAATAATTTCCCTCTTTCCTACATACTCTAACTTGAGCCTCACTATCCTCGTAAAAACTCTTCACTGCAACATCTGCCACACTTGCAACATCTGCCACATTGCCCCCCTATCCACCCTGTCATACGCCTTTTCCAAATCCATAAATGCCACAAAGACCTCTTTAGCCTTATCTAAATACTGTTCACTTATATGTTTCACTGTAAACACCTGGTCCACACACCCCCTACCTTTCCTAAAGCCTCCTTGTTCATCTGCTATCCTATTCTCCGTCTTACTCTTAATTCTTTCAATAATAACTCTACCATACACTTTACCAGGTATAGTCAGCAGACTTATCCCCCTATAATTTTTGCACTCTCTTTTATCCCCTTTGCCTTTATACAAAGGAACTATGCATGCTCTCTGCCAATCCCTAGGTACCTTACCTCTTTCCATACATTTATTAAATAATTGCACCAACCACTCCAAAACTATATCCCCACCTGCTTTTAACATTTCTATCTTTATTCCATCAATCCGGCTGCCTTACCCCCTTTCATTTTACCTACTGCCTCACGAACTTCCCCCCACACTCACAACTGGCTCTTCCTCACTCCTACAAGATGTTATTCCTCCTTGTCCTATACACGAAATCACAGCTTCCCTATCTTCATCAACATTTAACAATTCCTCAAAATATTCCCTCCATCTTCCCAATACGTCTAACTCTCCATTTAATAACTCTCCTCTCCTATTTTTAACTGACAAATCCATTTGTTCTCTAGGCTTTCTTAACTTGTTAATCTCACTCCAAAACTTTCTTATTTTCAACAAAATTTCTTAATAACATCTCACCCACTCTTCATTTTGCTCTCTTTTTACATTGCTTCACCACTCTCTTAACCTCTCTCTTTTTCTCCATATACTCTTCCCTCCTTGCATCACTTCTACTTTGTAAAAACTTCTCATATGCTAACTTTTTCTCCCTTACTACTCTTTACATCATTCCACCAATCGCTCCTCTTCCCTCCCGCACCCACTTTCCTGTAACCACAAACTTCTGCTGAACACTAACACTACATTTTTAAACCTACCCCATACCTCTTCGACCCCCATTGCCTATGCTCTCATTAGCCCATCTATCCTCCAATAGCTGTTTATATCTTACCCTAACTGCCTCCTCTTTTAGTTTATAAACCTTCACCTCTCTCTTCCCTGATGCTTCTATTCTCCTTGTATCCCATCTACCTTTTACTCTCAGTGTAGCTACAACTAGAAAGTGATCTGATATATCTGTGGCCCCTCTATAAACATGTACATCCTGAAGTCTACTCAACAGTCTTTTATCTACCAATACATAATCCAACAAACTACTGTCATTTCGCCCTACATCGTATCTTGTATACTTATTTATCCTCTTTTTCTTAAAATATGTATTACCTATAACTAACCCTTTCTATACAAAGTTCAATCAAAGGGCTCCCATTATCATTTACACCTGGCACCCCAAACTTACCTACCACACCTCTCTAAAAGTTTCTCCTACTTTAGCATTCAGGTCCCCTACCACAATTACTCTCTCACTTGGTTCAAAGGCTCCTATACATTCACTTAACATCTCCCAAAATCTCTCTCTCTCTCTACATTCCTCTCTTCTCAGGTGCATACACGCTTATTATGACCCACTTTTCGCATCCAACCTTTACTTTAATCCATATAATTCTTGAATTTACACATTCATATTCTCTTTTCTCCTTCCATAACTGATCATTTAACATTACTGCTACCCCTTCCTTTGCTCTAACTTTCTCAGATACTCCAGATTTAATCCCATTTATTTCCCCCACTGAAACTCCCTACCCCCTTCAGCTTTGTTTCGCTTAGGGCCAGGACATCCAACTTCTTTTCATTCATAACATCAGCAATCATCTGTTTCTTGTCATCCGCACTACATCCACGCACATTTAAGCATCCCAGTTTTATAAAGTTTTTCTTCTTCTCTTTTTTAGTAAATGTCTACAGGAGAAGGGGTTACTAGCCCATGCTCCCGGCATTTTAGTCGCCTCATACGACACGCATGGCTTACGGAGGAAAGATTCTTTTCCACTTCCCCATGGACAATAGAAGAAATAAAGAAGAACAAGAGCTATTTAGAAAAAGAGGAAAAACCTAGATGTATGTATATATATATGCATGTGCGTGTCTGTGAAGTGTGACCAAAGTGTAAGTAGGAGTAGCAAGATATCCCTGTTATCTAGCGTGTTTATGAGACAGAAAAAGAAACCAGCAATCCTACCATCATGCAAAACAGTTACAGGTTTCTGTTTCACAGTCATCTGGCAGGACGGTAGTACTTCCCTGGGTGGTTGCTGTCTACCAACCTACTACCTACCCAACCTACAACCCCATATATATATATATATATATATATATATATATATATATATATATATATATATATATATATATATATATATATGAACATAAGAACATAAGAAAGAAGGAACACTGCAACAGGCCTACTGACCCATGCGGAGCAGGTCATGTCCCCCCCCGGATTTAGACCAATGACCCCCCCCCCCGGATTAACCCAATAACCCACTAGTCTGGTCACCTCCACTCAAGGATGGAGCACTGCCGCAGACCCAGCAGCACAAGCTAGTCAGGTCCAACTCACACCCACCCACACCCACTCATGTATTTTTAAGTTTACATTTATATAGTAATATTTAACAATTTTAAGAAAATCTATTATACTGCCTTTAACTTAAAGGAAAGAAAATAAAAAAATGTATTTCATATTTTTAAAACTGCCGTAAGGAATATTTCCTGATAATGTTGGTAAAAGTTAATCATTTTTTTTTTTTTAAACCGGTGGGATTTTCGTTATGGAAATTGTAATAAAGTTGGTAGAATTACCGACAATATGTAAAGTAAAAGGACACAAGTGCAACTATTGTGACATTTATTGTGGCAACGTTTCGCTCTCCAGGAGCTTTATCAAGCCATTACAAACAATACATGGACACAGAGGATATATAAAGGCTCAGAGTGAGGTGCAATACTAGTGAGGTAACATTTCGATGTTCACTAGTGGCAGTAGTACTACTACTACTACTACCACTAGTGAACATCGAAATGGTACCTACTACTACTACCACTAGTGAACATCGAAATGGTACCTACTACTACTAGTACTACTACTACCACTAGTGAACATCGAAATGGTACCTACTACTACTACTACTACTACTACCACTAGTGAACATCGAAATGTTACCTCACTAGTATTGCACCTCACTCAGAGCCTTTATATACCCTCTGTGTCCATGTATTGTTTGTAATGGCTTGATAAAGCTCCTGGAGAGCGAAACGTTGCCACAATAAATATCACAATAGTTGCACTTGTGTCCTTTTACGTTATGGAAATTGTTCACATAATGGTGGAAACGTTGGTAGTGTTTCCTAACACTGCTGTCCCTGTTCAAATAGTAATAAGTAGGTACCTGTGTGTTAGTCACCTGACGTGGGTCGCATCCTGGGCAAGAGGATGTAGTTAAATATTCATTAACTTAACCTAACTCTAATCTAGCCCGAGTTCAACCAGACCTAAAGTAACCCCTAACTTAACCTAGCCTAACTCAGCTTACCGTAGAATAACTCCAGCTTCCCTTAATCTAACTCAGTGTAAGGTAAAGTAACCCTAGCCTAATCTACTCTAACCTAACAAACTAACCCTAACTTAATCTAACTTAACCTAAAGCATAGAACGTGATACATATTTGCATTACAGAGAACTTAAAGAAACTGACATGAGCAGCGTATGAAAACTGACGTTGTAAAATAAAAATAGTTTGCAAGTTGCGACCACCAACAGTGTACTTGCTCCCAGGCACCTATTTACTGCACTCCCAGACACCTATTTATTACACTCCCAGGAACTCATTTACTTCACTCCCAGGTACCTATTTACTGCACTCCCAGGTACCCATATATTACATTCCCAGGTACCTATTTACTGCACTCCCTGGTACCCATATATTACATTCCCAGGTACCTATTTACTGCACTCCCTGGTACCCATATATTACATGCCCAGGTGCCTATTTACTGCACTCCCTGGTACCCATATATTACATGCCCAGGTACCTATTTACTGCACTCCCTGGTACCCATATATTACATTCCCAGGTACCTATTTACTGCATTCCCTGGTACCCATATATTACATTCTCAGGCACCTATTTACTGCACTCCCTGGTACCCATATATTACATTCCCAGATACCTATTTACTGCACTTCCTGATACCCATATATTACATTCCCAGGTACCTATTTACTGCACTCCCTGGTACCCATATATTACATTCCGAGACAATGGGAATGGGCTTCACCTGATGAAGTCTCGCTCTAACCTGGAATGAGGACCTACCTGGGAAGCCCCGAGGACCTGCCGCACCAGGAGGACCCGGGGGTCCTTCAGGACCTGGCAGACCTGCGGCGAAGCTGTAGAGACGGACAGCAGTGCTCAGCGCTACCACCTTAAACAGTGCAGCAAACGGCACAGCAGACGGCACAGCAGACGGCACAGCATATTCAGCAATATGAATAAACATGTAGATAAATAAATACTAATTATTAATATATATATATATATATATATATATATATATATATATATATATATATATAATATATATATATATATATATATATATATATATATATATATAAATGCAGAATTTCATATGTAAAAAATTAAGAATTAAAGCGCCGTGACTGCCAAGAATTGAGTAAATTCCCCAGAATTTATGTTGACTTGGTGGTCTTAAGAAACGTATATCTGGAGATGAGACTTGTATGTCTCATAACAGTAAAAATACTTTCAAATGAGCTGATGTAGGTAGCAGCTCTTAGCTTGTCAATAAAGTTAGGAATCCTTAACCTGTAAATAGCTTGTCAATAAAGTTAGGAATCCTTAACCTGTAAATAGCTTGTCAATAAAGTTAGGAATCCTTAACCTGTAAATAGCTTGTCAATAAAGTTAGGAATCCTTAACCTGTAAATAGCTTGTCAATAAAGTTAGGAATCCTTAACCTGTAAATAGCTTGTCAATAAAGTTAGGAATCCTTAACCTGTAAATAGCTTGTCAATAAAGTTAGGAATCCTTAACCTGTAAATAGCTTGTCAATAAAGTTAGGAATCCTTAACCTGTAAATAGCTTGTCAATAAAGTTAGGAATCCTTAACCTGTAAATAGCTTGTCAATAAAGTTAGGAATCCTTAACCTGTAAATAGCTTGTCAATAAAGTTAGGAATCCTTAACCTGTAAATAGCTTGTCAATAAAGTTAGGAATCCTTAACCTGTAAATAGCTTGTCAATAAAGTTAGGAATCCTTAACCTGTAAATAGCTTGTCAATAAAGTTAGGAATCCTTAACCTGTAAATAGCTTGTCAATAAAGTTAGGAATCCTTAACCTGTAAATAGCTTGTCAATAAGTTAGGAATCCTTAACCTGTAAATAGCTTGTCAATAAAGTTAGGAATCCTTAACCTGTAAATAGCTTGTCAATAAAGTTAGGAATCCTTAACCTGTAAATAGCTTGTCAATAAAGTTAGGAATCCTTAACCTGTAAATAGCTTGTCAATAAAGTTAGGAATCCTTAACCTGTAAATAGCTTGTCAATAAAGTTAGGAATCCTTAACCTGTAAATAGCTTGTCAATAAAGTTAGGAATCCTTAACCTGTAAATAGCTTGTCAATAAAGTTAGGAATCCTTAACCTGTAAATAGCTTGTCAATAAAGTTAGGAATCCTTAACCTGTAAATAGCTTGTCAATAAAGTTAGGAATCCTTAACCTGTAAATAGCTTGTCAATAAAGTTAGGAATCCTTAACCTGTAAATAGCTTGTCAATAAAGTTAGGAATCCTTAACCTGTAAATAGCTTGTCAATAAAGTTAGGAATCCTTAACCTGTAAATAGCTTGTCAATAAAGTTAGGAATCCTTAACTGTAAATAGCTTGTCAATAAAGTTAGGAATCCTTAACCTGTAAATAGCTTGTCAATAAAGTTAGGAATCCTTAACCTGTAAATAGCTTGTCAATAAAGTTAGGAATCCTTAACCTGTAAATAGCTTGTCAATAAAGTTAGGAATCCTTAACCTGTAAATAGCTTGTCAATAAAGTTAGGAATCCTTAACCTGTAAATAGCTTGTCAATAAAGTTAGGAATCCTTAACCTGTAAATAGCTTGTCAATAAAGTTAGGAATCCTTAACCTGTAAATAGCTTGTCAATAAAGTTAGGAATCCTTAACCTGTAAATAGCTTGTCAATAAAGTTAGGAATCCTTAACCTGTAAATAGCTTGTCAATAAAGTTAGGAATCCTTAACCTGTAAATAGCTTGTCAATAAAGTTAGGAATCCTTAACCTGTAAATAGCTTGTCAATAAAGTTAGGAATCCTTAACCTGTAATAGCTTGTCAATAAAGTTTAGGAATCCTTAACCTGTAAATAGCTTGTCAATAAAGTTAGGAATCCTTAACCTGTAAATAGCTTGTCGATAAAGTTAGGAATCCTTAACCAGTAAATAGCTTGTCATAAAGTTAGGAATCCTTAACTGTAAATAGCTTGTCAATAAAGTTAGGAATCCTTAACCTGTAAATAGCTTGTCAATAAAGTTAGGAATCCTTAACCTGTAAATAGCTTGTCAATAAAGTTAGGAATCCTTAACCTGTAAATAGCTTGTCAATAAAGTTAGGAATCCTTAACCTGTAAATAGCTTGTCAATAAAGTTAGGAATCCTTAACCTGTAAATAGCTTGTCAATAAAGTTAGGAATCCTTAACCTGTAAATAGCTTGTCAATAAAGTTAGGAATCCTTAACTGTAAATAGCTTGTCAATAAAGTTAGGAATCCTTAACCTGTAAATAGCTTGTCAATAAAGTTAGGAATCCTTAACCTGTAAATAGCTTGTCAATAAAGTTAGGAATCCTTAACCTGTAAATAGCTTGTCAATAAAGTTGGGAATCCTTAACCTGTAAATAGCTTGTCAATAAAGTTAGGAATCCTTAACCTGTAAATAGCTTGTCAATAAAGTTAGGAATCCTTAACCTGTAAATAGCTTGTCAATAAAGTTAGGAATCCTTAACCTGTAAATAGCTTGTCAATAAAGTTAGGAATCCTTAACCTGTAAATAGCTTGTCAATAAAGTTAGGAATCCTTAACCTGTAAATAGCTTGTCAATAAAGTTAGGAATCCTTAACCTGTAAATAGCTTGTCAATAAAGTTAGGAATCTTAACCTGTAAATAGCTTGTCAATAAAGTTAGGAATCCTTAACCTGTAAATAGCTTGTCAATAAAGTTAGGAATCCTTAACCTGTAAATAGCTTGTCAATAAAGTTAGAATCCTTAACCTGTAAATAGCTTGTCAATAAAGTTAGGAATCCTTAACCTGTAAATAGCTTGTCAATAAAGTTAGGAATCCTTAACCTGTAAATAGCTTGTCAATAAAGTTAGGAATCCTTAACCTGTAAATAGCTTGTCAATAAAGTTAGGAATCCTTAACCTGTAAATAGCTTGTCAATAAAGTTAGGAATCCTTAACCTGTAAATAGCTTGTCAATAAAGTTAGGAATCCTTAACCTGTAAATAGCTTGTCAATAAAGCTAGGGATCCTTAACCTTGTCAAACCCTGTGTAAAAAAAAAAAGAGAGAGAGAGAGAGAGAGAGAGAGAGAGAGAAAGAGAGGGGGAGAGAGAGAGAGAGAGAGAGAGAGAGAGAGAGAGAGAGAGAGAGAGAGAGAGAGAGAGAGAGAGTAAAGAAACAAAGTGGTGGTAAAGAGAGACAGACCAACTACAATTTAAAGCTTGATATTGCATTTGCATTTACCGTATTTTTTTCCACAGCTGCACCACCTTCCTGTTGCAACAGCACTGGCCTGCGTGGCCTAGCGGTCAGGCACTGGCCTGCGTGGCCTAGCGGTCAGGCACTGGCCTGCGTGGCCTAGCGGTCAGGCACTGGCCTGCGTGGCCTAGCGGTCAGGCACTGGCCTGCATGGCCTAGCGGTCAGGCACTGGCCTGCGTGGCCTAGCGGTCAGGCACTGGCCTGCGTGGCCTAGCGGTCAGGCACTGGCCTGCGTGGCCTAGCGGTCAGGCACTGGCCTGCGTGGCCTAGCGGTCAGGCACTGGCCTGCATGGCCTAGCGGTCAGGCACTGGCCTGCGTGGCCTAGCGGTCAGGCACTGGCCTGCGTGGCCTAGCGGTCAGGCACTGGCCTGCGTGGCCTAGCGGTCAGGCACTGGCCTGCGTGGCCTAGCGGTCAGGCACTGGCCTGCGTGGCCTAGCGGTCAGGCACTGGCCTGCGTGGCCTAGCGGTCAGGCACTGGCCTGCATGGCCTAGCGGTCAGGCACTGGCCTGCGTGGCCTAGCGGTCAGGCACTGGCCTGCGTGGCCTAGCGGTCAGGCACTGGCCTGCGTGGCCTAGCGGTCAGGCACTGGCCTGCGTGGCCTAGCGGTCAAAGGGACTGGCCTGCGTGGCCTAGCGGTCAGGCACTGGCCTGCGTGGCCTAGCGGTCAGGCACTGGCCTGCGTGGCCTAGCGGTCAGGCACTGGCCTGCGTGGCCTAGCGGTCAGGCACTGGCCTGCGTGGCCTAGCGGTCAGGCACTGGCCTGCGTGGCCTAGCGGTCAGGCACTGGCCTGCGTGGCCTAGCGGTCAGGCACTGGCCTGCGTGGCCTAGCGGTCAGGCACTGGCCTGCGTGGCCTAGCGGTCAGGCACTGGCCTGCGTGGCCTAGCGGTCAGGCACTGGCCTGCGTGGCCTAGCGGTCAGGCACTGGCCTGCGTGGCCTAGCGGTCAGGCACTGGCCTGCGTGGCCTAGCGGTCAGGCACTGGCCTGCGTGGCCTAGCGGTCAGGCACTGGCCTGCGTGGCCTAGCGGTCAGGCACTGGCCTGCGTGGCCTAGCGGTCAGGCACTGGCCTGCGTGGCCTAGCGGTCAGGCACTGGCCTGCGTGGCCTAGCGGTCAGGCACTGGCCTGCGTGGCCTAGCGGTCAGAGAACTGGCCTGCGTGGCCTAGCGGTCAGGCACTGGCCTGCGTGGCCTAGCGGTCAGACACTGGCCTGCGTGGCCTAGCGGTCAGGCACTGGCCTGCGTGGCCTAGCGGTCAGAGCACTGGCCTGCTAGTTTCAACACTGGTTTGCCATGGGGTTCGAATCCTCTGCCTTCAGAGTGTTCCTCTACCTGCCTCTGCAACTCACCTTTAAGTTCTAATTAGAACACTGACCTTCTCTTCTAAGCTCTTGATCTTTGCTGACATTTGGCCTACGGAGGAGCAGGAGGCGGAGCACTGCAGACCCACGTCGTGGGCGTCCTGGTGGGCGACGGAGAGGGTGGAATGGGGCGGCTGTAATACACGCCTCTGTCCTGGAGATGGTACTGCCCCGCCCTCACTCTCCAGTTCACAGCTGCTGTTGTCGCCACGAAGACGGTAACCTAGTAATAAAAAATACAATGCTTACTCTTTAAATCATTATTACGTTTCGCGTGAAGCACTAAGTCCGTATGGGTCATTCTCCATGACGTGTAGTGGTGTCTAAGTAGTCCGTCTACAAATAGAGATACAGATGTACTGTCTAACTGTAATTTTTTTCTTGTTTCAGTACCATTCAAAAGAAATAAGCATATATCTTAAATACATTTGCAACAGACATTAAAAATGGCAAATTTGTATATAATATGTAACCAACTGTACTCGTTTTGGTTCTCTTAAATCTTGGGTCCTGTGTGTTTTGTAACTCATTCTCCTGTATAAATTACTAAATGTAAAAAGAATAGCTTTGGTTTTTTTGTTTTCGGGTCACCCAGCCTCGGTGGGAGACGGTATTAGTAGAAATATATACTACACAATTATTGCACCATTGACATATCAGCCATGTGTGTGTGTTATATTCCAATACATTAAATGACTGTGGGAATTACGGTGGACGAAGCGAACGTTGCTCAAGTTATCCACCAACTTGTTTTGCAACGAGTTTCTGGAAGTCTCTGGATGTTCCACCTAAATTCCCGTAGATTTAGTCACATTTACAACAAGGAACAGCAAATGTTGCTGCAGAAATCGTGTTATGTTGAAGGAGTTTCTTTCCGGTAATGTTTTTGATGGCGGTAGAAGAGCTGGTTCCTATATCGAGTTTGCTGGTGGAAAAGATCTTGGAAATGTATTTAGCAATAGATTTAATGGGAAGCACTATGTACCCTTCCTCAGCAGTGTCGCGTTTGGTAGAGTTGACGATGTGTGAAGGACGAGGTCTGTAATCCTTGATGAAACAAGAGAGGCGCTGTAGTTTCTTGAGGATGTGCTCAAGGAAAGAGCATTCCTCCTCAAGAAACTCACTACTGCAGTGAAGGAGAACTTTGCACTTATTTCTTTGCGTTTAGTCTTGATGTCGTAGCATGAGTGGAAGCTATTGTCAGATTTACAGAACAGATGATCCAGGAATGGTAGCGCGTTGTTGGAGGGAGTCTTCGAGTGTGTTGTGTGAGGAAGGTTCAACCTGGCTGAGTGTAAGGAAGGTTCAACCTGGCTGAGTGTAAGGAAGGTTCATCTTGGCTGAGCTTTCTTTGGAATTCTGAGACGTCATATCGTCTAAGTGCAATAATGAGAATGTCGTAAACTTAGCAAAGTCAGATAAAGAACGAGGGGACGACAAAGGTAAATAATTCAGCTTAAATATGATCTATAAAGTAGTTCGCTAAGATATCGGGGATCCCACAGGTAAGTAGAAGATCTGTTAGCAGAGAGTGTCACTGAAGGAGAGACAGCTGAACTCGCATGAAATTCACTTGAGGCCCAGATTCATGGGTAGGGGTAAGCTGATCTGGGAAGTCATCAACTATGTGTCGTAGATCACATATGGGCTGGAGAGTTATATTGATGTCACGGATACGGTTGAGATCACCCGAGTGTTTAAGACGTGCGGAACTGATGGTGCCTACGAGTTTGCAAAGATGTTCAACTAGGATGTATAGTAACTTATATGAGGAAATCTGTCTCAGTGGGTCACCTGGTCTGCCCACCTGGCTCCTGACCTCGCTTCAGTGACTATTACACACACACACACACACACACACACACACACACACACACACTCTCCCCTTCCAGGTTTATCTGTTTGCGACATGATAAAGCCCCTGCGTGGGCGAAACATCGTTAATAAAGATTTCATGTAAATGCATTTACGTCTATTTCTCAGAACTGTGTAATTTACGAGCATATGCCAAGGACACTATACGGTCATCCTTCACTTTTTTTTTTTTTAGGTAGAGTGGAACCCCATCTACATTATGACAGTGAAAGCTTTACAAACGATGAATGTATCTCCTGACTTGTATCTCCTGATTTGACACGAGACACTGTCCGAGTTCCTGACTCACAAAACATCATTACTTACGTTATTGGTTGAATATTGATCCGTATAGACAATCAATAACATACGTTATTATACAAAACGATCGCAGATAGGCGATCTTAACAATGTTAAGAGAGAAGATGGAGCTGGTCTCTCCCACGCTACGTTACTCTAAGAAAACATCCCGTCATTTCTCCTGTTGCTACTCTTGCAACATTGCATAGCTCCTGATGACGCGCGGAGACGTGTGAAAGTACTTCAGCTGAAGATTTCCACCCTCCCGTGGCATGTCTTATATATACTATATGAAAAAAACCATAACCGATTCCAGCATGCCATCAGACGACTAAATTAAGAAAAACAAAAGTCAATATTATTGTAGTAACATTATATCACTACTTAGGAAGAACAAATATAGAAGGGAGACAAGATAAGGATATACAAAATACTCTTAGGCATAGACAGGGGCTGTCAACAACGACATTTTAAACAGACGAGGGATCAGGAAGACAGAAGCTGTACACATAAATGAGCCATGAAGACCTGAAGGATAACAGTGTACAGCGTCAGGTCGATAAGGAAGTGAAACACACTAGGAACTAACATAGAAAATTATTTATAAAACATATACTGGAGAGAGGAGAGAGAGAGAGAGAGAGAGAGAGAGAGAGAGAGAGAGAGAGAGAGAGAGAGAGAGAGAGAGAGAGATGTAGAGAATCTCATACAAGATAGATCATATAGGAGAGAGAGAGATCATACAGGAGATAGATCATATAGGAGAGAGATGTAAAGAGATCTCATAGAAGAATGACAGATGGCATACAAGAGAGAGATCATATAGGAGAGAGAGAGAGAGAGAGAGAGATCATACAGGAGAGAGAGAGATCTCACAGAAGAGAGAGACAGATCACACAGAAGAGATAAATCTCATTCACGACTAACACACATCCCATCAACCAGTCGAAAGAGTCAGGTCCAAGCGCTGCATCTCAACCCTCCCCAAACAATGCTAGATAAATAAAAGAAAGTAAATACACGGACCATAATGCCTCGCCTCCACACACATCCTCGGAGAGAAGGTCGACATTATCCAATATTATCCGGCATTATCCATGTCACTACAGCACACAGCTTCTCTCTCTAATGTGAAGCTGATTCGTAAATCACTCTCGCTATTATCATTATGAATAATTATGAATACTCGATTATAATTAAACTGTCCCCTAAAATAATTGAGCTTGACCTATGTAAATTGCCGTGTTATGTAAATTGCTGTGTTATGTAAATTAATGCGTTATGTAGATTTACTCTGAGGGTTAAATTGATGACTGTAAATTAATATTAAGAAATAAAAATGAATACAATGTCATTTGCAAATACAAAATATATCAATGTTCGCGCGCGCGCGCGCGCACACACACACACACACACACACCTCTCTCTCTCTCTCTCTCTCTCTCTCTCTCTCTTCTCTCTCTCTCTCACTCACCTGGTCGGCAGGTGCAGCTGTAAGACCCAGGTGTGTTGACACAGTTGTGTCGACACCCACCGTTCTGGTCCCCACACTCGTCAATGTCTTGTGTCCACCACATCAGCAGCAGCAGCAGCAGACGAGGCGCAGACAGCAGACACCACACGCAGCACCGTAACAGAATCAAAATAAGTAAGTAAGTTTATTCAGGTATACACAAATACAGCTACATAGAATTATCATACATAGCAGCATATGTGTAGAGAACCTAGGATAACCCAAAAAAGTCAGACAGAGTGACTTATTTCCATTGGGGTCCTTTTACCTTATTATTATAATATAAAGGTTATAATATTTTCTTATTATTCTACAATGAAGATAACATCTTATTATCATACTAAAAGACTATCTACTACACGAGGGTCATTAAGACTATCTACTACACGAGGGTCATTACTAGGAATAAGGTAAAATTTACACGTATGTTAGCTAAAAAATAGAAAATCATTCCCCTCCCTTTCTGTAGCTACATTCATCAGACACCTTTTGGCACTCTTCTTGAACTGGTTCATGCTATGACTGGCTTTGACATGTGCGGGTAGTCTGTTCCATTCCTTTATTGCTGTACAATAAAAGGTGTTTGAAGCCTGGCCACTGACTGTGGGTACTACAAAGTTGTGCTCTCTCCCCCTAGTACTATGATTGCTTTGGTTCCCAACCTTGACAAAACTGACAGCAAGATATTCTGGACACTGTTTGTGAGCAATTTTATAAACATGATTTAGCTTCAGTTGTTTTACTCTGTCTTCAACATTCAGCATATCCAACTGCTGTAATTCATCCTGGCCTACATGTTCTCTTGGTCCAGCCCCAGGATGATCTTACGATTTTGTTCTGGGTGATTTGCAGTCTATCTTTCAGTTTTTTTGTTAAGGCAGAGTACCATGAAGAGCATGCGTAATCCATATGGCATTGTATAAGGGCTAGACATAGGGTCCTGCGAGCCTCAGTAGGTAGACACTGTGCTTGTCTATACAGGAACTTCAGTCTGGCATTCGCTTTCTTTACTACACTGTTCCTATCAATTCTCCTGACATGCATGGGTCAAAGGGGATTCCCAGATATTTTACTGATGAAACCAAAGTGATGGACTCCCCATTACACTGAACATTAAAATTATTTACCCTTCTCAGTTTATGTTTCGTGCCAAAGAGAATGGCTTCAGTTTTCCCTAGGTGTAATGATAGTTTGTTGTCTATTTTGACCTCGTCGTCAGTCACCGTATCATCCAATCAAGATTCAGAGATGGTTATAACTGCCGCCCTAATTTTGTTAGCTAGAATCCTAATCTCTGCCAATTTAGGAAGAAGTGATCTTGCATTGACATGAATAAAGTGAAGGCCTGTTTTCGTAAAACAATCATAATCAATATATGGCAATGGGTCATTTGTATTAAAATTAGGTAAATCAATGTCATCATTGTTAAAGGGTAACTGTGCCAAAGTGCATTTGTTACACACAAAATGAATTCTGGCACCGTTGCTATAATTGTACATACATCCATCATGCACCCACCCCTTACACATTTTACATAAGGTGCCTTTTCTGTTTTTCATGCGTACTTTAGTACAGTGTATGCATCTGTTTGGTAGTGTTTGAGATAATAATGGCTGTATTGTCTCACATTGACCTATGTATGCATTACATATGGAGTTAAGGTTATCATCCCTAGCTACTAGACAGTCATTATCACCGTCATTTATCTGTCTGTTTTGCCTCTGCACAATAGTTTGAGGTCCTGGATTAATTTGGATATCACCACTTAAGAGCGCTACAATAAGAGCTGTGTGCTACTGTTTTTGTTTGGGTATGCGGTGTTGCCATACCTTGCGGCGATAGTGATATTTACTTTTCTGGTAGGATGGCAACTGTTGGGCTTTTACTGTCCAAGGCGTTGTTACTCCATTCACCTTTTCCAGCCCCCATGACTGATTTCTTTCTTCATGGAATTGAAGAAGAAAGATAAATATAATTATGGCAGCCTGTGCCCCTCTAATGCCTGCCATTTTCACTCTTCGCTCTTTTACTCATATACATGGGTGACCCACAAAAGGAAACATTCACTATCATTCATTCAGTAGCTGTCTTGCCATATACTCATATATATGTAGCAAACACAGCCTTAAGAATAGTTACGACAGATACACAAATAACCCGGATATAGGAGAGAGAGAGAGAGAGAGAGAGAGAGAGAGAGAGAGAGAGAGAGAGAGAGAGAGAGAGAGAGAGAGAAGCTTATAGCAACTTCACGGTCCAACTTAGAGCATTTAACCTGTAAATGGTTGAACGCGGAATGAAACGCTGTTATAAGCTTCTCTCTTATTTCTGCGGGTTATTTGTGTATTGTTCCAGTCACGGCATTGTGTCTTTTTATTATTTATTTACAACAGGGTCAACGAGGATGCTGAAGGAGAGGCGACTCGACCCCCTCCTACCATAGATGGAAATGAATAACTAAATTATAATAAAGGCTTATCAATGCTCAGTATAACCCACATGAAGACAGAAACTCAGAAGACTAACTGATCCGTATATTTCGATCCCCTTTTGGGATCTTCTGATCTGCTAAAGAGGACCCCAGAAGAGGGTCGAAGTATACAAATAAATCTATCTTCCGAGTTTCTGTCTCCATGTGGGTTATTATTGGGCACAGATGAGTGTGTACAGATACATATCTCGGTCCCTATAACACATCATTTTCCTGCTATAGGAATGATACTTGGTAGCTTCAGGGAACATATTTTTATGTCAGGTTAGACTGAATTGATTTAACATAAATCAAAATTTACCGTTTTTTTTAACACCACACAAAAAGCAAGAGAAAAAAAAATGGGGGGGGGGGAGCTTTGTAAACTTCATAAAAAAAATCTTATATTCTTATGCCCACATTTTAGCACATTTTTCTATATTTGTTTAGTTCACATTTTTTTTTTTCAAAAATAATATGAAAAGCCCATAAAAATCTAAATTGTCGTTTCTTATTTCGAGTTTTCAGATTTTTTTTTCAATGGTCTTAAATGATAGTAGATAAAACAAATCTTGAAGACTGAACACCTACTTTGTATGTTGAGAGACCGATGATTTCTTAACGTCTTCCAGCGACTCAGATTAATCAAGACTGAGGGACTGATCACCTCAAAGCTACTTCTTCCATATCTTCCTGCGTCAAGTTGGTGAAACGTTACCACTATAAAGATAAAGTGTAGCACATACGTCTCATCCATCTAGGCAAAACAACAACGTTCTCCTAGAAGGATGACGACTAGATCGCACCACATTCCAGACTTATTTTCCAGACAATTGTCCTTCCAGTCCGAGTCTCTTAGGAAGCAAATACACGTATACTACCGTGTTATCTATCCACTCGTTTGTAGTAAATTTATATAATATCTTCTGTAAAGTATGTGTAAACTACAGTCTTATCAACCCTCTTAGCTGCTGTTAAAGGCAGTTAACACACTCTTTAGTGCAAAAGAACAACCCAAGCGTTGTAACGTTAGTGCGGATAATGTCTGCAAATCCCGGTTTGTAGGCATTTAATGTCGGTTCATTTGTGGCAATTTTAAGTTTCATATGTAATTTAGCATTACAGTGCGACCGGAAATATAAAAGCAACATTTTTTTCTGGGAAGGTATATCCTTGATGTAACAAGCGCTGCAATTCTTAATATTATTGTAACGATTTTACTCAGAATGGCTGAATGATGGGGGAAAACGAGTTTTCTCTCTCACACTCGCACGCACACTCTCTACTCACCGAGACACACAGGTGTGATGCCCCTCTTGTGGTTCTCTGGACTGAATCTGTAGCCAGAGTAGCACGTACAGATCACTCGCCCAAAGTACACGGAACATTTTTGCTCACAAAACTCCTGAGAGCAGGGATCCACTGTGTCTGGCAGGCATCTGTGGACGCGAATGTTGGTAGGTGAGCCAAAGGTGGTGGTGGTAGTGGATGGTGCAGGTAGGGGAAGGGGTGACAGTGGTGGATGAAACAGGCAGGGGAGTCATAGCGGTGGGTGATGGGGCAATATGACGGTAGTATGACAGGGGTTTCATCAGTGGAGAAGCCTGAGAGGACCTGGAATAAAAGAAAAGCATCTCTCGCTGATGGAGGGATACAACACAGCCAGAAGTGGAGTAAGGAACACTTGTCATAAGTTTTATGGTGAGCTGGACATCACAACTACGAATATAGGTGTCCCACAATTCCTCGGAATATTACCACGGTGTCCTCATCGCCTTACTCAGATCTTCCGGCTCAGGATGACAGATTCCACTACCTGACCCAGGAAAACAGCCTATGTGATGGAATATAACAGGTGAAATATAGCTAGCATTTCTTCCTAATGTGTGGTTAGTAAACACATTTTCTCATAGAGGGCTGCTTAACTCACTCTCTCAACTCACTCTCTCACTCACTCTCACTCACTCCTCCCTCCTCTCTCTCTCTCTCTCTCTCTCAGGCAAGCAGCAGCAGTATATTCGTCAGAAACGCAAACCCAGTGATACAGTCTACCATTATCACTCTATCCACTGCACATTAACCCTTCTTACAATGGGGTGAAATGGACCTTTTAAAAGCAAAGTCCATTTGCAAATGGAATAAAGCACTAGTTCCAATAACCTCAGGGATAAGAACAGACATTATAAACAATCCGATGTCTAAGCCTTGAGTATTAACATGGCGTAGACACATCTCTGCAGCTCGACGATTAAGATGACACAATTATACATTGATTCCTTCATCAGTTTTGCATTCGCTACTAGCTGCGAGACGATGCATCAGCTCTGATTGCATGGTTTCATTCCTACTTTTCTAATACAGTTTTGATGTTACGTATACCAGACATGGATATCTGTATTGCAGTGTTTCTTCTAGGTTTGATGTACGATCAACGTTATGATTTTCTTTCCACAGTTCTGTTTGTTTTCGAACGTTTTCACTTGTGTTGTAGTTATTATTTACTCAAAAAGCGCTAAGCACAAGTTTTACAGCTGGTGCTTTAGAGCTTCCATATGAGTTAAAAGTGTTAGCAAAGCTTATTCCTTTAGTAGAACACAAATCAGGTTGGGCAAATATTTTTGTTTGTGGGTTTGGCGTAGAGAGAGCTGCCTAGTTTGGAACCAGAAGGCTTGCTGCAGTATTCTTCCTTTCTTATGCTCTTATGTATTCAAACGAAGAAGGTTCTATGCAGGCGATGCGTTTTGGAGATGAAGATACCAGTGTTATACAAGTGTTTTAGTCATTAATCCATCAACATTGTATACCATCCTTATAATGATTGCTACTGGTGTCACAAAGCAGAGCAGACCGTAGTGCTGTTCAGCTTTCACTTGCTCGCGTCTGCTAAAGCCAGCAAATTTCCTTGCTTCCTCCGCTTCATTCATTGAACATGTTCTGCTGTATATCCATTACATGAAGAAAATTTAACATGTGCAACATCTGGGTATCTTTATTGTAGACGTTTTGTCAACCAGTGGCTTTATCAGTACAAATTCAGGAACATCAATTGGAAGACAGTAGAACTACAGTGCTCTACGCCAGCTCCAAAACTGAGGGACTGATTACCTCATCTTTTGTATACAGTTTTATTGTCTTCCAGTTATGTCCTTGAATTTGTATTGATAAAGCCACTGGATGGCGAAACGTCTACAATAAAGATACCCAGATGTTGCACATGTGTCTAATTTTCATCTTGTCGGTCTTGTATAACATTCACGCACAATTATCCATTACATATTGATCATTGCCATAAGAAAGTACGTCATACAAAGTCTCAGTCACTGACGCTACGTCTTTTAAAGCAGAATGTGCTTTCTATGCTTTTAAAGCGAATTTTTCTGCAAAGAAGAATCCATTATCACGTTCCGCGGTGACCGGTCGGCAGCGCCTCTCAAAGTAGTGTTCCTAGACTATCTATAACTACGTGAGCAGGAAAATAACATAAGGGCTTGACAGCTCCTTCAACTTTCCAGATCTCATTTGCTGGAAAAAGGGTCAATAGGAAGCACTGCAGTATGTGTCTGCAGTCCTTACTGGCACTTCCCTGGGCTATTGATATCACAGTAATTTACATGCAGTAAGGGTCATCCAGGGCAAGACGTGGTGGAGGCTTGATCCTCCATCTGCTGAGAGCTAGACTGACGCGCTTCCTATTTGTACCCACCTGCTGTAAAATTCTGTCACCTCCCAAGGTTGCTTGTTTGAAGAAAACAAAGTGTCTGGCGGAGAGGATTAGTCACACTGAGCTCATCTGAGCTCATCTGTTCTCATCTCAAATATCTTATCTACAGCACAGGTTTCCATCACCAGGATAGACAAGAAGTGAAAGTTATTTGTTAGTTTTCTGTTTATTTTGAATTTAAATTCATGGTTTCCCTTGATAATTAAGGCATCCGAAGGAGGGACGTGACCCCAAACAGACGGAAGTGTTACCAAAGTTAAGGAGGTAACCGCAAATGTAGGGAAGTGAGACAGGAAAGTACTGCAGGGAAGTACGCACCTGCCGGCGACGAAGTTGTACCCCTGGCAGCAGTGCCTGCGGAAGCAGTCAACCCACTGCTCGCGCACCTGGCACTTGTACCTGGTGGTGATGACATTGGCACTTGGGCACTCCAGAGTGTCTGACCTGCGGGAGGAGGCAAGGTCATTAAGTCTGACCTGAGGTAGGAGGCAAGGTCATTAAGTCTGACCTGAGGTAGGAGGCAAGGTCATTAAGTCTGACCTGAGGTAGGAGGCAAGGTCATTAAGTCTGACCTGAGGTAGGAGGCAAGGTCATTAAGTCTGACCTGAGGTAGGAGGCAAGGTCATTAGATGTGGAGCTTACTAAAACAATGCAATTTATTTTTATCTAAAATATATATATATAGGAACCATTAGTAACCAGTAGCAACCAGTAACAACCAGCAGCAACCAGTAGGAACCAACTAGTACTGCCTTCAAGCAAGGTCTCAAGATACAGACCTAGCTCGCTCTGCCCAAGGAATCCTCTGGAGGTGAAGGTGTCGTGAGTGCTGCTGCCCGGAGGTGGCCTAGTCTTAGGCCGCCCGCTGTTAGAAGTGGCGCAAGGCGGTGAGCGGCCTCCTGATGGGGAAAGAGGGCAGGGGCTGGCGTACGGAGGACGGAAGTAGCGCCACTTTCTCGCGGCAGTACGTCAGGAGCACCAGCACCGGTACCATTAATATCCACGACTACCATCTTCTGCAACGCAGACGCCACTGACAAGGGGATATAGTACTAGTAGTAGTAGTAGTAGTGACTAGTAGTAGTAGTATAGTAGTAGTAGTAGTAGTAGTAGAATCATTATTATTATAATTATAACCCTTATTATTTCCCTTCAAAGGCTGTTTTGATGTAATTGAAGAGTTGAAATGGAAAACAAATAAATACTGAGAATACAAATCAACTTCTAAAAAAATATATTATGGAAGCACGACTCGCAGCAACGGATTCAAGTCGGATAAATTTGAAGTTAGAAAGGGTATAGGAGAGCCTAGACTTGGTACAATAGCAGTAGTAAGATGATAGGACTAGAAAGTTTATGAGGTTCGTTTGTACTTAGAATGACCCAAAAATATCAAAGTGAGTTAATGTTGTAAGTTAATGTTAGCGCCATTAGGATGTCAGCCCCATCAACCCTAATTGTTAATTCTTGTGCTTAATTCAACGTAGCTTCTGTAATTCTTGTCCTAGACAGTGTTAAACAAGCACAGACGCAGCCGCGCCAGCCTACGCGTGTTCCTAACCAAACATTACAAATATCACAAATTATGTACACTGGTGGATTTAATCAAGAGCGCACGAGCAGGCTGCAACTGCTGCTTGCTGCCACTTCCTCAGACACGACTTCTTGGTACCGTGACCTGTGCTTTACCTGTGACCGGTTTTGAGAGCTCTTCTACCCCCGCAGCCCGGCCTGAGACCAGGCTTCCCTCCAGATCGCCTGGTCAACTAGAATATCTGTGGTAGTGGCCCAAGAACAACACTGCCCTCACAACCCCGCTAATCCAACACTTACTGAGGGAAACTTTCAGTTTTTAATAGTTTACTGTGCACTCCATATCCAACCTATGGACGGCAGCGCAAGAGATCACGCATACACAAAAGTTCTAGTAACTATGCCCCAAAAAAAGTTTAGCAGGAATACATCTGAATATATATCTAGAGATTAAGCTTTATCTGTTAAAAGAAAATTTATTCTTCATTACGTGGACAATCAAGCACATAAAGCTTGCCATATGCTTTGCATTTAGCAGTAGTAGTAGTAGTAGTAGTAGTAGTAGTAGTAGTAGTAGTAGTAGTAGTAATCAGGGGTGGATCTACTATGAAACTAATAAAGTTTTAGTTTAGGGGCCCGTAATCCAGGAGGGCCCCAAAAGCCACTTTAGTCCACATTGCTTAAAATTTTGGATCTCCTGTATGAGAAGGGAATGCGAAGGGACTTCCATAACAGTTCAAACTCCAGGGACCCAAAAATGTAAGTCCACCACTGGAAGTAGTAAACGGAATAAAATCCAGTATGAGCCCAGTGTGAAGTTCAGTTCCCAAAGACACTGTTTTGGTGCCTGTGCAGTTTCTCATCCTCGCAGCGGAGGGATAAAAACGCTGGTTATAGTTCGTTTCAATATATGCGAATGATACCATAAAGAGCAGAAAAACCACCTCGGTAGAAGACACTAAAATATTTCAAGAAGAAATAGACAAAGTCTTCCAGTGAGCAGTGGAGAATAACATGATGTTCACTGGTGAAACGTTCCAACTGCTTAGATATGAAAAACTCAAAAGGGACAATCTATACAAAATTCAAAACGGTTACCATTAAACACAAAAGAAACGTGTGGAGGACCTGGGTGTAATAATGTTATTAAGGAACACCATAAGGAAAATAATGTGAAGGCCAGGAAAATAGTGGGGTGGATAATGAGAACTTTCAGAGCAAGGAAAATAATATCAATGGTGACACTGTTCAAACCACCTGAGCTCTTGTTTTCCGTTCTGGGTAAGGGATTATAATTATTATAATTATGGGGAGCATGTAACCAGTAGGATTATACAGCGCATGTAGGGAGGGAGGGATGGAAGGTACTCAGGCTCAGTTCAGGGAACCGGAACACAGATCCAATTCTCTAGATCAAGAACCCCTCACCAGCATCAAGGAACCACCCTTAAGAGGATCTGGGTAAGGGACATATCAGAACTGGAACAGATATAGAGATCACTTATTGCCTGCATAAAGCCTACGAAGTGTTTAAATTACTGGAAACGCCTCGAAATCCTAAATACGTGCACTCAAGAGAAGAGAAGTGAGAGATACATAATGAAATGTACGGGGAATGTGCATGGAGGTCTGGTACTAAAGACTGAAGCTACAGAAAAGGAGGAGAGTAATTTCTTGTATACCTAACATTCATGTATCTATTACTGTAAACTAATCCTCTTTAATGTTAATGTAAATGGCTTGGTTTACCCTAGTATCTCTCCTTTTACTCTAACTGATTTACTTAACTGTTTTAACATTTAAAGTTAAAATAAAAAATATTACAAGAACCCCAACGGAAATAAGTCACTGACTTTTTTAGGGGTTTCTCCTAGGTAATGTACACTTTGTGTGATAATTATACTTATGTGTACCTGTACCATAAATAAACTTAGTATGTAACCTACACTCTGCCATAACAACCTGCATATAAGAGAACAATGTTATCAACATCCGTGTGCCTTATTATTCTGGGTTTAACAAACTACAAGAAGACAGCAACAGTATTGCCGGATCAAGTCTTCAAGAGCAAGCCTGACAAGCACCTCAAGTACCTCCACCAAGTGCCAGGTCAACCGGACTGTGACGGATATGTGGAGGGTCATGGGGCCACCAGTAGCAACAGCCTGCTTAACAAGCATCAGACAAGCCTGACCAGAGTTTCTGTCGCTCGGCGTGATCTTTCTGTGCCACATTGAAACTTAACATCTGTTTCTATGTCGGTCATTTCTTTCCTCTACCACCCTTATGATGTGACGTAATTTTCTGAAAACTTGCATAATTAATATTTCTTTGGAACTACGGGAATAAAGAGTATGTGTGTGTGTGTATGTGTGTGTGTGTGTGTGTGTGTGTGTGTGTGTGTGTGTGTGTGTGTGTGTGTGTGTGTGTGTGTGTGTGTGAGTGTGTGAGTGTGTGAGTGTGAGTGTGAGTGTGTGTGTGTGTATGTGTGTGTGTGATTGTGTGTGTGAGTGTGTATGTATGTGTGTGGTGTGTGTGTGTGTGTGTGTGTGTGTGTGTGTGTGTGTGTGTGTGTGTGTGTGTGTGTGTCTGTCTGTCTGTCTGTGTGTATGTACTCACCTAGTTGTGGTTGCAGGGGTCGAGTCACAGCTCGTGTGTGTGTGTGTGTGTGTGTGTGTGTGTGTGTGTGTGTGTTTGTGTGTGTTTATGTGTGTGTGTGTCTGTCTGTGTGTATGTACTCACCTAGTTGTGGTTGCAGGGGTCGAGTCACAGCTCGTGTGTGTGTGTGTGTGTGTGTGTGTGTGTGTGTGTGTGTGTGTGTGTGTGTGTGTGTGTGTGTACTCACCTAGTTGTACTCACCTAGTTGAGGTTGCGGGGGTCGATTCCGAGCTCCTGGCCCCGCCTCTTCACTGATCGCTACTAGGTCACTCTCCCTGAGCCGTGAGCTTTATCATACCTCTGCTTAAAGCTATGTATGGATCCTGCCTCCACTACATCGCTTCCCAAACTATTCCACTTACTGACTACTCTGTGGCTGAAGAAATACTTCCTAACATCCCTGTGATTCATCTGTGTCTTCAGCTTCCAACTGTGTCCCCTTGTTACTGTGTCCAATCTCTGGAACATCCTGTCTTTGTCCACCTTGTCAATTCCTCTCAGTATTTTGTATGTCGTTATCATGTCCCCCCTATCTTTCCTGTCCTCCAGTGTCGTCAGGTTGATTTCCCTTAACCTCTCCTCGTAGGACATACCTCTTAGCTCTGGGACTAGTCTTTTGCAAACCTTTGCACTTTCTCTAGTTTCTTCACGTGCTTGGCTAGGTGTGGGTTCCAAACTGGTGCCGCATACTCCAATATGGGCCTAACGTACACGGTGTACAGGGTCCTGAATGATTCCTTATTAAGATGTCGGAATGCTGTTCTGAGGTTTGCTAGGCGCCCATATGCTGCAGCAGTTATTTGGTTGATGTGCGCTTCAGGAGATGTGCCTGGTGTTATACTCACCCCAAGATCTTTTTCCTTGAGTGAGGTTTGTAGTCTCTGACCCCCTAGACTGTACTCCGTCTGCGGCCTTCTTTGCCCTTCCCCAATCTTCATGACTTTGCACTTGGTGGGATTGAACTCCAGGAGCCAATTGCTGGACCAGGTCTGCAGCCTGTCCAGATCCCTTTGTAGTTCTGCCTGGTCTTCGATCGAGTGAATTCTTCTCATCAACTTCACGTCATCTGCAAACAGGGACACCTCAGAGTCTATTCCTTCCGTCATGTCGTTCACAAATACCAGAAACAGCACTGGTCCTAGGACTGACCCCTGCGGGACCCCGCTGGTCACAGGTGCCCACTCTGACACCTCGCCACGTACCATGACTCGCTGCTGTCTTCCTGACAAGTATTCCCTAATCCATTGTAGTGCCTTCCCTGTTATCCCTGCTTGGTCCTCCAGTTTTTGCACCAATCTCTTGTGTGGAACTGTGTCAAACGCCTTCTTGCCTTCTTGTGTGTGTGTGTGTGTGTGTGTGTGTGTGTGTGTGTGTGTGTGTGTGTGTGTGTGTGTGTGTGTGTGTGTTGTGTACTCACCTATATTTGGTTGCAGGAGTCGATTCACAGCTGCTAGCCCCGCCTCTTCGCTGGTCGTTACTAGGTCTACTCTTTCTCTGCTTCAAGAGTCATATCGCATCTCTTTTTAAAGCTATGTATGGATCCTGCCTTCACTACATCAGATTGCTCCACTTCCTGACAACTCTATGGCTGAAGAAATACTTCCAAACATCCCTGTGACTCATCTGAGTTTTCAACTTCCGGTTGTGATCCCTTGTTGCTGTGTTGCTCTGAAACATTCTGTCCCTCTCTACCCTGTCAATTCCTCTCGGTATTTTACATGTCGTTATCATGTCCGTCCTGTCTTCCAGTGTTGTCAGGTCGAGTTCCCTTAACCTCTCCTCGTAGGACAGACGCCTCAGCTCCGGGACTAGTCTTGTCGCA